AAAGTTATTTTCTTGACATAGAAGAAGCAAAATAATTTATATGCTATGTCAAATATATTTATATAATTTTTATGAAAATCTATATACTTCACTAATAAGGTATTTTAAAATAAAATATAATACAAAACGGTAGCACAGTGGGGTTGCGGCACAGTGTGGACGTGGCATAGTTGGGACAAGTATAGATGATATCTGACAGTAATAAAAATCACAATCCTAAGAAACGCTTCGATGCAAATCTATAGATTTCAAGTTCGAATCAACCAAAGTAAAATATTAACATAATATACAAAAAAAATGATCAACTCTTTGTCATATTACAATTATTTTAATGATAAATTTATTTATTTATAACAACATATATAACATGCATACAATATTTTATTAAGTCTCGAATAATAAATCAATTTTTAAAAGACAAATTATTGAAACCTAATTCCTCATAATCATTTTTCACAACCTTTAGAAAAAATGATTTCAAATAATCACACAAAGAATGATAAGTAGTACTATATTCTGTTAAGTTATCCATTTGAATCAATCGTTCAAATGTTGTAGTTAAATTTATGTCTGATTCATATTTATTAATTCTGCAATATTTCATGTTAAATTCAATTACGTCTTTAAATTTCATCTCTAAATTTAAATAAACGTGAGCTACTTCTTTAAGAAACGTTTGAGCTTCATAAAGTCCACCATTAGTAAATAAAAATGGGGAAAAATACTTTTTTCTGATATCATTCAAATAATTAATAAAAAATTCTACCACTTTCTCTACTAATAATTCTGAATTTCGCTCTTTTTTTTTTATTGTGTAATGTCTTAAATTAACGAGAGCAATTAACATTTTTTTAAACATGTCATGTGATGTGATTAGTGTTTCATAAAGCTTAACCGCACAATTCATTTTATTTTCATATTTACAAACATTAATTATATGCCTCAACATTATATTAAAATTGTGAAATATTTCAATATAGCGACATCTTAAATAAAGTGCAAGATATGTCCGCATGAATTTATAATTTTTTGTATCATCCATTTTTATAAAGTCTTTGTAATACAGTGACTTTCCTTTTGTATATTTATTTTCAACAGCTATATGTTTCCATGATATCCAACCAATGTGAGATATAAAATGATTACACAATGCAATACCTTCCATATGGCCATATTTCCTAGGTTTGAAAAATTTAAACCTGTATGGAAAAAAAAGTCATGCATAGTTACTCAAAATTATTATCATAGCAATATAATCTTTTAAATAGATAAATAATTAAAATTGTGCTTAACAAAATAAATTTTTTAAATTTAAATAAAACTAAATGTAAATCTTACTTGAACGTATTTGTTCCTTCTAGTTGTTGAAAGCCTAATTTTGTATAAAAATTTTCAGTAATTCCAAAAATATATGATTCAAGATCTTTGTAAATATTATTAATATAATCGTTGGAATCCTCTACCAGTTTTTCCATTTGATCGATGTTATATTTCATCAATACATATGTTAAAATAGAACTT